ACACTAGTCTTTCAGTCTGATTTACTCATTTAAAAGAATTGGAAACAAACTCTAAAAATCTTTTTTTCATTCGAAAAAATGACAACAGAGTATGAAAGAGCATGCTAACAGGTACTTGACTCACTTATTGAAGTTAAGATTATCATATATATATATATATATGATAGTCACATCATAAGCCTCATTTCAGGTATCACAATAAATGAATATCTTAGTGGGATCTTACATCTTTTTAAATGTGCCTTCTAAGCACTCTCCAAAACCCTTTAAATTTGGTTGTTTTCTTTCAATATCAAGCTCAATTTAGTATCAGGCACAACAGTTAAATCACATAAGATATTTAAGGTAATTAGATATTTCCTTTTATGGTGGACTTCACATCTTTTTTTTTATTATTAATCACAAAAATAAATACCTTCCATGCATATCAAATTTAGCTTTTATTGTTTACAGATTTTTGGATTACCTTTTTGATAAAATATAATTAATGTTTGTTTTTGAACTTTGCTAAAATTTTAATTAAAAAAATCTACACTCTAGTTTTAATTCTTCAAAATCAACTTGCTTTCAGCTGATCTGAAACTTTTTTTTTCAACAATATTAACCAAATAATGGTAATCCCTCAATTGTTGTTAACAATCTCAATATTTCTTCTCTAACCAAAATAAATCAACTTTTTAATCTACAAAACAAAGTGTATACTTTCTCTGTCACAATGGCTATATACATCATGAACCACTTTTCAATTTTCATCAAAATATCAGGAAATCATAAGCATGGCCTACTCCCTCCTAAGACAAATTTCATATATACATCATACTATAAAAACACTAAACGAGGTTTTAAAATCAAGATGATTATCCAAATTTCAAAACAATTAAGGAAAAATATTTTCTACACACTCTTAAACATAAATAAAGCCCATCTTCTCGCCCATAACACAACCACACACACATCTGGTGACAAATCTCACATTATTCAGCAAAAAAACTGTTCTAAATTACATTGTAATCTATTAGTACATACACATCTTTCTTAAATCTGATACATAATAAATGTTTTTAAATAATTTCAAGCTCTTTAAACCCTACTCTCTAAGAATACTAAGAAAATAAACTTGAATAAAAAAATCAATTTTTAATTATATTTATTCAACCAGTTTTATGTTTATTTTAAGATTGTTATATTTTCGTTTTTAAGGCTATTTGAAAATAAAGAATTTATTTTATTTTATACTAGACTTTCAGACTTAACATGGAATTTCACTTTTATTTTGTGTCAGAAGGCTACAAACAATGAAACCAGTTTTTTTGTTTTATTTTTTCTGAGTTATGAAAAATAATGATAACACTGAAAATTAAACTTCTGAACTTTTCTGTTTTCTATAGTAAATTAAATTTGGATGTTTTTATTCAAACCTGGCTGGTAACTTTCTTAATTTCACCATTATATTCAGTATGTTCCAATCTTTTTTGGATATCTGTTCTTTACAAATTTGTCAGAAGATCTAGCTTATCATCTTTATCAACTTCAAAACACTATGCTCATTAATTATTATAAATTAATCAATTTATACTTAATTCCCAAGATTTTTTCACCCTTCAAAATATCGTTTTTTAAATTTTAAGTTAACTGTAAGCCTTGCAAAACAAGCATTCAAGTCAGTCATACTAACTTACACATCTCAGGTAAACAAGAAAACACAAAATATAAAATAAATAAAAGTTTGAAAAAGAAGTTTGTTTTGAGAACAACAGTAGTTTTCTCAAACAACATAACAAGCTTATGTTTTCCTCCCTTGTTAATCTAAAATTAAAAAGTATTTTATGGTCTTTGTTGAAGCTTGAAAATAAATTAAGTACTAAATAAATGAAAACAAAGACATGGAGAACATGTGTCCTTATAATAAATAAGTCCATGGTATAGAAAGAATGACTTTCAACATGACTTGCTCAATTTCTCCAATATTTGCTATTGAAAGTGTGAAGACGAACAATTTCAGGTAAAAACTTATGAAATAATACTTACCATATCCACCAAGGCAATATAAAGGAACATTCCTGCTGCCCCAGCAAAAATCCATTCATTTGCACTACTAACATTTCCCAAAGTGACACCAATTACCATTCCCAAGAAGCAGAGAATGGAAGATAAACCATTATACAACAAAGCTTGTTTAACAGTCATTCCTGCTTTTAAAAGCATGGCAAAATCCCCTAGAAGTAAGACAGATTCAAATAAACAATAGTAGCAACGTTATATCTAATTACAACACTTATATTAATGATGGAACAAAGACTTCCATACAGTGATAACATAATGGTGCATCAATCTGTCCTTATAAAATACAACTATTATAATGATGTTTTTATAGGAATTTGATCTCAGTAAAAATTAATACTCACATTATGTACTATATATGTATATATTATAGAAATATAATGCTAATGAAAATATGTTGGTTAGATATCTCTCTTACATGAAAAATTTATCTTTCTCTATGGAGTTTAAAATACGATTTTTTATTGTTTTGCTGACTCTGAATAGGTTTACTAATAATATTCTTAAACGATAAATCAAGTGAATAAAAAAATAAACATATTTTATGTTTTCTAACTTCAATCTCAATCAAGAAGCTCTTTACATATATCAAATGAGCAAAATATATATTAAATAGAAAATGTATTTATTAAAGACATGATACACACAAAAATAAAATACCACTCAGAAATATTTACATCTCATTTAGGTCAAATAAAAAAACAGCTGAATAACAAACTTAATGTTCAGTGCTTGTAAATTATATTCACAATTTTAAAGACAAATAAATATTTCATGTGTACCATAGTCTTTTCATTATATATGTATAAATGTATTATATCAAAACCTAATAGCCACAAACACTAAAAAACAAGGCTTAACTTTATGAATGATATGCCAAGCTCACTACACCTTTGTAAATATTACAGCTTATGGTTAATACCACTTAAGTTTCAGAGTGAAATATCTTCTATTTTTGTTTTGATAAAACCTATCTACAATAAATAGAAAAAATTGTATTAAGGGCAAGTGTAAAACTACTAATGCAGTCACCAGCTTATTTTTCTATGAATGTATTTCAGAAATGGAACAAATAAATAATCTTTCTCATTTTTTAAGTCAGTCTTACATTCTTATTTTGCAATGTATTTCTTTTGGCACATAGTTGTTTGTGAGAATGAAATGAATATTGAAATAATAATTTCATTTATTAGTATGTGAAAGAATTCTACTAAGAACTTTCAAACAAATATAGGTAAGAAAAACTTATCACATGTGAATATATTAAGGAGGTGTATCACCATTTGCTGATTAATGCAATTTTCTGCACTTGAGTGTTATTTTAGATAGTATCCAGTCACTTTCTTGGATGCTTGAATCAAAGACTAAAGACCATAAGAGCTGAAAACACTGCTAATGGTAAGAATACCTAACTGACGACCTGAGGCAGAGTGGTCGTGGAAGCTTTTTTGTAGTTTGCCTGTTGTTCATAATTAAGATTATTTATTATTAATTATAACTTTATTGTAGAATTTTAGCAGCTCTTCTGGTATAAGTTTTTACATAAGTAGTCAAATAATTTGCATGGGTTCAGATAAATGTTTTTAAGCATTTAGAATTTGCATAACACACTGGATATTCCTATCTGTTGGATTCAGTTTTCTCCAATTATTAATTCAATAGTATGAAAAAAATAAAACAGAGATGAAACACTGTTCCCTGGTGAATCTATCATCTTTAGTTAATGATTTCATACTGCTTTAAATACTACATTATATGATAACAGTAATTTGTAATATATCTAATGGCTACAGGACACTAACTACTGTTGAAAACAGTCAAGCTTTAAATGTACAGAAAACAAACAAAAACAAGTGCTGAACAACATTTTAGCTACAAATACTGGGTGAATGTATAAACATTTCTGTCTAGAATTTTACTGGTATCTAAAGTGCTATAAAAACAGACCATATATTTTCCTTATTTTCAACTCTGATTAATGGAATAATAAACAATTACACAACAAAAACTATACCCACCTAGTTCATGTGGTAGTTCGTGACAAAATACAGCTATTGTTGTGCTTAATCCCCCTGAAGTGCCTGATGCAAAAGCAGCCCCTGAGTGAGAATAAGTGCCCCAAAAAAAAACAATGTAGTTTCCTTTAAAAGTACACATGATGATGATGATAACTATAAACTACATAGGCAAAAATAATGTCTATATATATGATGTAATATTAATTGAGCTTGAAAATTTAAGCAGAAACAAAATTCTAAAATAGGAAAATAAACAGTATTCTAATAATGCATGTACTTAGTCATTTTTTAGAATACTTCTGTACTTAATTCAATAATGCTTAATAAACAGCTTAAAAAAGTTACATAAACAAATAAAAGATATACCAATTGCAAGGCCATCACAAAAATTGTGAAATCCATCTCCCATAATAACCATCCATGCTACTGCAGACACTGATGTTGGGACTTCGTGACTGTGTCCATGTCCCTTATCCTGATGATGGTGGTGATCAGCAACAGTGATGACATAAGAATGATTATCATCTTTATGATAATAAACAGTATCTCTGTGACACTGTTCATCACATGACACATCTGCCTTATTATCAACACTGGCAAGATCACTTTTGATTGAGGAATAATTGCAAAATGGAGAAGAATCTTCAGGAACATCTGCACTGTATTCACAGTCATCTTTTTTTCCAAAGGAATTATGTAATTCTATAACCACAAAGAAAATATATGTATCATTTGATAATAACTCTTATGTTAAATAAAACATGACTTCCTGCAGTAAAGAACAGATTTTGATATAAACATGATTACACAGCATACATAAGAAATAGAAAGTGAATGGCAGGCATAATAGTTGCACAAATAATACACATGAAGCTTCAAATTATCAATGAGTGTGAATAAAAAAAAATCGAAAGTTAATTTTATTAACATAATTTTCTCATATTCAGATATAGAAAAACTCAATGAAATTTCTATTCACATTCCTTTCAGTTATTTTTTATAAACATACCTCAGAAAAGATGAAAATATTTAGCTATTTAAAAGACCAGTTCTGAAACAAAAAATAAAAATCACTATCTAACACAAAATAGTTCCAAAACCCTATCTTAATACCTGTAGAAATATTTCTATAGTTATCTCACAAAACAAATGTGATTTTTAAATAATAATATATTAATTCCTACTCAACACAAAACTTACTCTGTAGTACTTCAAGATCCGTATCTTCTGAAACTATGCCATTTTGCTGGTAATGTGAGAGCTTTTCTCCAACATTTGTTCCACAATCCATCTGTATTCTCTGAAGTGTATTGAAAGACCCTGGTACTGATGGAAACTTCAAAGGCATAATGTGATTTTATTATTAGAAATATCATATTATAAAGTGCTAAAAATAACATATTGTTGAAGAAAAACAATGGCTAACATGGATTTGTTGGTTCTGAAGAACACACTTAGTGTTCAATCTGAAGATAATTACAACAAAACGTATATATAAGTTTAAAGGCTACCCATTCTAATCAGAATTGCCTCTATATTTTTAAATATTATACATTGTCTGAGGTGAAGCATCTTCCAGGAAAGGGCAGGGTAACCATCTTGTCAATAAAAACTACCTAAAATATTATCAAATTTTAAACTTTAAATACTTTGTTTTGCCTTACTGGTATTAAATCGTGAAATAAGGGCATAAGCCCTTTGAACATTCTGCTGAACCATTGGAATATATTTAATGAAGAATTAATAATTTTAAGGGATTCCTAAACTAGCTTAACACCTATACTCCAAAATATAAATCACAGGCACAAGCAAGATTATAAAACAGATACAACCAATTGTAAGTTTGACAAAAAGAACAAGTAGGCTATTTTTTATTTATTTATTTCAGAATTGAAAATCAACAAAAATGTAGAATTTTAATACAGTAACAGCAATACATTAATAAAAGATGAGGTTGTAGAGGTGGAACAGAGACATCAACTTTAGCAATTCTAGTCAGGAGAGCATAGGAGAAATTAATTAGTAGTACAAAACCATGGGGAGAATACTCTATTTGTTTCATGTTCAAAGATTCACAATGGGCTATCTGTGTTGAGGCTACCAATTTCTGCATTATAAATCTTCAAGCTTACCACTGAGATACTGTGGAATAAGAATATTCTGATACAATATCAAATCAGCAGTGTCTTACATAATTAAAAGTAACTAAAATACATAATAACATCACAAGTGCTTTTTATGCACACAAAAAAACAGCAGATAAATAGTTCAATACGTTATTTTAAGCTGTATATGTTATAAGTTGATTAGGTTTTGTTTTTTTTTACTCACTATCTTCTTATGTAATTCTGAAAACATTACTGCAAGGGTTCATAGAACCTGTATATACTTTCAAGAACCTCATGTCTGTTTGTTTGTTTGGCTTAAGCACAAAATAATGTAATAGTATATCTGTGCTGTATCCAATGCAGGGATTAAATTCCAAGTTTTTAGTATTATTGTTGAGCTACCAGGAAGACAACCTTATGTCAATCAACTAACAGGGCACTACTCTTCAAAGTAAAGTCATTCCAGTTTATCAAATACCTTGTGAGCAGTTATTTTTAGAAGTTTTAACAGGCTTAGAGTTTACATAATATGACTGCAGCATATAGTTGCTGCAGTCAACCACAGTTAAAAATCTGATGAAATAGTTTGTTTTTAAGTGCAAGGCTGCACAATGGGCAATCTACACTGTGCCCACTGCAGGGATAAAAAAACCCACATTTTAGTATTATAAGTTCACAAGCTTGCTTCTAAGCCACTAGGCTGCAATGCAACAGAGAAAGGATTAATCACGTATATGCATATATTTTTTTAATGTATGAAAATAAAAGTCCAATATTTTACTGATCACTATAATGAGAGTAAAGTACTGTTTCACCATCAGAATTTCATTTTTATTATATATTTTTATAATAAATCAAAATTATCTAAGTCATAAAATTTGAACTTTGGAGATAAAAAAAAACGTTCACTAGTCAGTTTCCTTCCACAGCCAAAACATACCTCTTGATCCAATTTACAACAATACTCCCTTTTAATAAGTAAATCAAATATTATTTGTGATACATAACTGCAACTATTTTTCCTCAACCAGATTTGTTAAGACAATACTTAATCCTGTATTAAAGACTCTTAAAACAATTTCTTTACAAAGTTCTAAATCAGTAGGAGATGCCTAAGACTATCAGAAGTTTTAATGTAGGAGAGATAGACTAACTTTTTTTGGAAAAATAAAATGAATATTTAAAAGTCTAATTCATGAGTTAATAATACATTGATACAGTCAGATATTGTCACAAAACTCTGTCATAATTTCAAGAAAGTTTAATAAACCATTATGAAATTCCCTTTTACAGTAAGTAATGATATTTAAATTATAATCAGCATTTTTAATACACTCTTAGAGAATGATAATTCTATCATACATTTAACTCAAAGGCAAATGCATTTGTTATTATAAACTCATAATGGTACTTGCACATTAACCGGCATCCTTATTACAAAAACGACATACTCATACTCATTGCCGATTTATATTTATGTGCTTACTTGTATATATTTTATTTAAATATCAAACATGTAGTTGGTACTTGAACTAGACTCACTTTATTGTAACATCAATAGGATGTTGGCATCATTGTGCAGTTTTCCAAAAGCTTGTAATTTAAATTTTTTGTTTTGTGTTTTCGATATATATTTGAAAAATATCTTACATAAAAAACAATTACTAACAAAATTTCACAAGCTAAAGAGCAACAATTGAACAAAAATACTTCAATTGAAAAAATCTACAGTAATTAAGTATAATCTAACACATCAATATCAATCAACGAATTCAAACCCTCTTTGTGAAAAGTTAGAAAGCTACGTTTTTACAGTAAGACATTCAACATTTATAACAAGTGTTCTGGCATGTTTTTATAATGAACAATTACGTTTTTAAATAGAGATAGTTATTTTGTTGTAAAAATACCTTGTGAATGCTCCTCTTCTTACACTTGTTTTTTCTTTTGGTTTGGTAACTTGTCAATAGATGCAATGCTCTTTCTGCCAGAAATAAGATATAGATTCCAGCTAATGCAACCAAACCTCGCCAAACATGTTCTCCCTCTGTTTCTCCTGTGTTTTTATTATCATGTTTGTGCTTTTCTCCACCTGCCATGGCCTATTATTTCAAATTATATTCAACAAAGTTTACCAATAACAAAAAATTACCGAGCTCATGTAATTTTTGTGAAAGAGAAGTTACATCACGTCATATAATTCTACCTATTAATATGTTTGTTGTTTACAAAAATGCAAATAACTATGAATTTATTCATCAGATATTAATCTACATTTCTATCTCCTAAAACAATCATATTGGTTTATGGAGGAACAAGTAGAACTTTTTCTTTCAAACATTATTTTCTATTCCAGAATTACTGATTAATTCAATGAACAGTTTTAGTTTAAGTAATATATATATATACACAATACATACTAACTAATAGGAAGAGTGAATTTCATTCTGTTGATTTAGAGCATATAAAAAAATAGCACTGAGGTGGAGTCAGTTTGGGTTAGTGTTAGTGGATATAAAGGGAAACGTCTTTTAATAGGAATTTGTTATAGACCAATAGGTCAGAATGTAGTAGTTATTGTGAAATTGTATAAGACTTGTTACAAAAATTAAATCTGAAGGTGTGGGGGGAATGTTATTAAATAGATAGAAAATTGGCTGGAGAGTAGAAAGCAGGGAGTTAATAATAAATGGAGTTAGATGAGTAGTAAGGGGTGGTTAAAGTTTGGAGCTGGTAGGGACATCCTTGATGGGCTAATAAGCTCCTTTTTGCTCTTTTAAAATTTTATGAAATTATGAAATCAGGGGCATACCTGAGTTAAGCTACACATAACATTTACAAAAGCTAAGCAGTGCAGAGAATTGAGCAAACTCAAAGACAAAAATAAGAGTGAACGACATTTATACCACTACAAGTAAAAGATTAAACCTTGTACAAGATACTAAATTGACTTACATGAGGTAGAAGGTGTAAGAGAGCATCTCCTGAAAGGCTACCAATAGCAAGACCGACAAGAAACTGAAGAAGTGTCTGGTAAAACAGTCGCTGCATCACTGGTACAATGGCAACACTGACAATCCCACACAGACTAATCACTATAACAGCTGCTGAACCATATGCCAAAGCTGGTTGAGGAGACAACTTATATAAGTTAAAGTTACATCTTGTTGAAAAACAACTCTCTTTTAATAGGTAACATTCTTTCCAATTGTCAAATTTAAATACTTTACTGATTAGTAAATAAAATAATATCATTCATAACTGTTATCATGATTTTCCACCATAATGTTTTCAATCTTACATGAAAATTTTTGTGAAATCTACTTATCAAAGAATTAAATATGAAAAGTGATTCAGATATATTCTGTAGCCTCTTCTGCATTCAACATATAAAAATATAAATCATACAAAGTTTGTTCATGCTACATGAACTAGTAATCTCAGACAAATCTTTAGCCCCAGTTCCCACACACTAGCTTGGTTCTTTCAATGACATGGGCACACGTATGGAACACTCTAAATAACATTTGTTTTAGCACTGAAAGGTACGATATTAAATAAATGTGAACTTCAAATTCTGTACCACCAGGAAAGGGTATTTCCCTTCAAACTTCCCAAAGTTTTCCACTTTCAAGTTTCAGATAAGAAACGAAATATCAAAACACTTCCTTTTCTGTTTTTTATTGTGTATATTGACATAAACTTGTCACTGAGAAAGAACTTTATTTATAACTATGGCATAAAAAATTTAGAGAATATATATATATATATGTTTCAATAAATTTTTAGAGTCTTCTCAGTCTGTGTTTTATGTTACAAAACACATCAGAATTCAGTGTCAGAGCCCTGCTGCCCTGATTCAAGTACAAACATTCCTTTCAGTGTCACAAATGAAATCAGTATTAGTGTTTTTCATTATTTTTCTCTTTATATTCTGACTTGTTTTCCTAATGTGATTGACTGTTGACTCTTGACTCAATTTCTGTTAATTCTAAGTAGCACCTCTCACATTAAACGGTTTCTCACAATTTGGGTTTAATAAAAAATTTTACAGAAAAATAAACTAGCTTGAACAGTCTTAAAGTTTAATTTAATCCATAAATATAGTTTATACAATACCAGATACTTTTGCAAGTACACAAAAAGGGTGTTCTGTCAACTTTCTAAGACATTTTATAACAATCTTCCAAAAGTAACTTATCCATACAAATAATTAGTATATCCTACATTGAAAGTTATACATGTAGATACAAAAGTACACTAACCATACGAGTTTCTGCTACTTGGTTTATCTTTTTCTTCATGAATATCGCTATGACAATCACCTATGTCTTTACAATGATGTTGCTCCAACTCATATATAATGGCTGGGCAAAGGTGCAGAAAATCCTTTTGAGTGATGAAGCTATCCGCTGGATTTAAATTAAAGTGCAGAAGTATCTCCATGGCAGTAAGACACTGAGAAAAAAATACAGATAAAACTTAATTTATAATCACATATTTCATAATCAGGTTCATTATGACTTACAATTCTGTTTAGGAATCAAAATCAAAATGTATTTTCTGGTGATTAAAAAAAAAAACAACTGTGCTAAACAAAAAATAATAAAACTAATCTTTAATAATACTCATACATCTTGAATGAAACATTTCCTCACAACACAAAGAAATAATTTGTTCAAATAATGCTTCTTTTTTTCAGATATTATGCATACATTCTCAGCATATTTTTGGCATATAAACTACATAACATACTACATGTATTAGTATTTTATATACATGTTCTATCATATCTCATTTTCTTTTATCTCTACTATAACTCCTGTCTTCTGTTTATATGTGATTATCCTTTAATTGTATGGATGCAGCTCCATAAATTGGAAGCTTATTTTGTTTAGTGATGTATTTAGTAAAATTAAAATACAAGTTTAACCAACCTTTTGTGGATATTTAACAACTTTTGCTACATGATCTGCATGAATATTCATATTTTCTACAAAGTTCAAAGATGAACTGTTCTTCTTTTTCTTAGGTCTTTCATCTATTATAAAAAAAATTACACAAAATGTTTAGTTTTACACCCGTATTGACTTCTCTGTTGAATAATAAGATCACAGGGAACAATAACATATTTTTTATAATTATGTATAAGATAAACAAGTGAAAAGACAAAATACCACTTATTAGTTTTTATATTAAGATTATACATGCAACAGAAAATAATATAATTTTCTACTCACTGCTTAAAACAAAGTTACAAATAGTGGCTGTAATATAGAATTCAAGGTCTATGGCTATTCATGCAAACATTAAAATAAAAAGGTCTTTCCAAATGCCTCAAATAAAAAATATTTTCTTCAGCATTATTAGTTGTTATTATTAAAGTATTTATGTTATTAAAATATTTATAAGGTTTGTTTGTAGTAAAGAACAAAACTACACAAAGGGCTATCTGTGCTCTGCCCACCATGGGTATTGAAATCCGGTTTCTAGCATTATAAGTCTGCAGACATACCACTGTGCCACTAAGGGGGCTAAAATATTTATATTCTTAAAATGATACAGAAAATTAACTGAAAATTAGAAGAATGAGACTAAATATTAGAAGAACATCAAGAAGAAATTTATGGAAAATTCAAATAAGATCAAGTGATAAGAAATGAGAATTTATGAGAAGTATTAAGAGAAAAAGTATTAAAAAACAAGTCTGAGTTAAGACAATATTGACAAAGCTATTAGAGATGTACAGAGAGATTACAACAAGATTGAAGAAACTGAGAAATGCTATAGTGACAAAACTGAAGAGGTACAAAAAAAGACATCAACAAAGTATAAAAAAGGTTGTAATTACAAAATCAAAGAAATACAAAAAAGAAATCAATGATAAAAATTTGGAAAATGAATTGGTAAATACAAAGATCAAATTAGTCACACCTCTTTCTGCATCTGTCCAAGAATTCCTGCCTAAAACATCATTTACTACAAAATATGGAATAGGAGAACCTATTTGGTTTACATTTATTATGATTACTGCTGCATCATCTGTTACTGCAGGACCTTTCTGACTACTGCAGCCATGTCATTACTAAATCCAATTCAAGAATTTAAGTGGCAAATTCATCCAATTGAGAAATCAATTGACTGTGATGGAAAGGTATTGTGGGAGACATATCAGGCTCAATTCAACATAATTCTTGAGTGAATAGGTGGAATAGTGAACAACAAGCTATTCATCTTGTTGCCCTTTGAAAAGGACCACTTGTAACAACTATACAGCGATGGTAACCACCTTATACAATAGATTCAGCATGAAGCATCAGAAAGAAAAATTATACAGGGGAAAACTCTGGAATGGATGAAAGAGGATAAATTAACTGAACTTACAGAAGATTTGGAAAGACTTATACAATATATAACCCAGATTTAAATGTGAAATGATGGATTCATTGGCACATGGCCAATTTATAGATGCCTTAATAGATGAAGATATGAGAATTAGGCTGAAGCAAGATAAGTGCACACATTTAAAGGTAGTTCTACAACTAGAGATGGAACACGAAGCAATTAAAGTAACAGATAAATAAATAAATAATCTAGAAGTTATGTGATCATCAGATCAAACAGTATGGGCACATCAACTCCACCTGAGGATAGTTTGGAAGAGCTTAAAGGATTAATAGTACAACTAATTACACAGAATGGAAGGAAGAAACCACAAGACAATACGTATTTCAAGTTTAAATTGTAATAACATAACTGCAAACCAAAACAGGTAGGGAATAAGAACTCTTCCCAAAGGATAGTAGTAAATGGGAACTGTTATAGATGTGAGAAACCTGACTATCAGAGTAGAGACTGTGCAAAATCGATAGGTGTTAATTAAGACATCAAGGAGACAATATCCTAAGAGTGAGTCTGCAAGCCCTATCAGATCAAAGGAACAACAAAGGGCTAACCAGAAACCAGGAGATAAGTAGTATATTATTTAAAGAAATCAGTCCATGGGTTTATTTATGTAAAGCTTTGAAGCAAATTTACTGACACTGGTTCTACAGTTACAATAGTTTGACCTGATTTGGCAATCAAAGAAGATGGAGTGATACAAACAGCAAATGGACATAAAGTTTTGACAAGAGAAAAGTTGGAAGTTACCCTTATTGTAGGAAGCTTCTACATGCCTCATGATGTACAGATGATTGACATCAAGGAAGAATGCATATTGGGAACTGACTTCATATGGAGATATGTTTGTGAATAAGGTAGCTACAAATAGCTTCACAGTCTATGAGAAGGAAATCCTGTATGTTACATGACAATTACTACACCAGAGGGTGAATTTCTAGTGATATAATAATAATAAGTCATATTACCACTGGGAAGTAAAACATTCATAATTTACATTTAGTGACTGGGTTGTAGTAGAATTAAATACTCCAGCATATCTTGAGGGAGTAACGGTCTGAAGAAATCTTGGAGATCCGATGGATAAACTTATCATCATTATTAGCAGCTCCTTCTAACACAAAAATAAATCACAACATTGAAAATATAGATTACAACAATATAAGAACAAACACTCTACATGAACGTTTATGTTAAGTAAACATGAGACATAAAAATAATTATAATAAATATATATAAACAAATATTATTAATTCCCTTATCACACTTAAAAAATATGATCCTGAAAGCCTTTTTAAATTGTAAAAAGATAAGCGCTTTTCAATCACTAGGTGTCTCAGACCATAATTTAACTCCTATAATTATATACTAATATTTCAGTTTTTAAGGAGTTTCAACAGTTTATTTGTTTGTTTTGAATTTCGCGCAAAGCAACACGAGAGCTATCTGCGCTAGCCGTCCCTAATTTAGCAATGTAAGACTAGGGGGAAGGCAGCTAGTCATCATCACCCACTTCCAACGTTTGGGCTACTCTTTTACCAACGAATAGTGGGATTGACCGTTACATTATAACGCCCCCACGGGTGAAAGGGCGAGCATGTTTGGTGGAACGGAGATTCGAACCCGCGACCCTCAGATTGGGAGTCAAGGGCCCTAACCACCTGGGCATGCCGGGCCCAGTTTCAACAGATGCTTAGAAAATAACATTTAATGAAACTGTAAACAATTTAATAATAAATTCAGAAACAAGGTTTCTGTAAGCAACAAATTACAATTTTCAGTAATATCTGCAACATTGCTTCGAAAACTAATCAGAACACTTCAGGGTTGTCATGCTAGTCTACTTTGCATAACAATGACATAACTCCAACTTTTCTTACACTTTACTTAGTTATTCTTTGTCCCTCATGAAAAAAGCTCTACATTTCAGAAATGCTCAGGTTATAAAGTTTCTTATTTTTAGCTTTCATCAGGAATCTGATGTTTAAGAGCACAACTCTCTTAAACCACAATCTTCATTTATCTGTCAGTCAGGTTACTTGTTTTAATTGAAAGTGATACATTTTACATGCTGGTATTGATAACCACATAGGTCATTTATTACTACTATTAAAATGTTCCATACTCACAAGCTTTTGAAAAGGTATATGTGTGAATTGTTAGTGGTATTCATCTAGTATTTCTCAGCTAAATTTACCAGACAACCCCCGCTTACGAGCTTTGCTTGTTCGTAGCGACCCCCATTATCTCTACAAGGATGGAAAAAACACGGCAATTCTATCTATTTTAATAAAATGTAGACTCAACGCAGACAGGTCGCGACACCTACCGTTTGAGACATTAAAAATTTGCAAGTTGTAGTGCTCAGCCAAAGTTGTCTTGATGCTCAGCCAGCTGACATCATGGTTGTCACGACTGTTTTAATATATAAAAACCATGAAATATCCATTATTTTTCTTTCTTTTTTTTAATATAAATACTTAATTTTGATAATCAAACATATCAAACATTGTCTTTAGATCTGAGGTTAATATATTCTTGTCTACACTTATTAAGATGAGTGTACAAAAATTACAAACCACTGTAAATACGCACTAAGAAACATGAGCTTGTCATTTCGAATATTTATGTTTAAAATAGTAAATCAAAAGAAATGCGGCTAAATTTTAATCCAGGGGATGGGGGTCTTTGACCTGGTCATTTAATGTAGATCTAGCATGGTCTGACGGTTAGGGTGCTTGACTCGAAATCTGAGGGTCGTGGGTTCGAATCTCCGTCACACCAAACATGCTCGCCCTTTCAGACGTGGAAGCATTATAATGTTACGGTCAATCCCATTATTCGTTGGTAAAAGAGTAGCCCAAAAGTTGGCGGTGGGTGGTGATGACAAGCTGCCTTTCACAGCTAAATTAGGGACGGCTAGCGCAGATAGCCCTCGTGTAGCTTTAAGCGAAATTCAAAATAAACAAATAAACAGAACAATATTTTATTTAGCTTTGATTAGAGAAGATCTGTTTAAATAACATACAAATAATAATATAAGAGTAAACTCGTTCAACTTAAATAAATTCAAAAGATTATAAGTCAGTAAATATACCTATTTTTAAAAATATCTTTGTGTAATAGAAGCATCTACCAAGAAAAAAGTAGAAAGCAACACTCTAAGCAGTTCAAAACTGAAGAGAAAATACATTAGAAACACGACTCTACAAATATTTGATCCAGAGGTTATCAGAAGAGACGCATAAGCATGGAATAATAAATACAGACACAGACATAGAAAACAAATATCAATAATAATTCTACATCTGAACAACAACTGACAGACGGAAGGGCACTCGATCAAATGTACTGACCTTGGGCTAGCTTTCCTTTTCTTTCTAGTTTTCGACCACCGGTAATATATCTCTTCTCATCTGTTACACTCTGCGATTTTGAGATAATTTGAAGATCACGTACAGATGGCCTAAAACCAGTATCGCTGGCTGTATTTTCATGTTTGTTTTCTTTTCCCACAGTTTTTATCTGTTTAAGTTTGGCAGAGTTTTTAATCGCTTGTTCATTACGATGTTCATCGTGAAATATGTGATTATCCTTACGGTTTAATGCCAGATGATGGTCATGTATTGCAACTTCTCCAATACCGAGGCTTTCCAGTAAACGCTCAAAACCCTCTAAAGTGATTACTCCATTATCTCCATACTTATGAAATATCTGTTTTAAGAATACATTATGGTCTATCGTAACAGAACCATTTTTGTTAAAGACATTTTCATGTGGACTGGCATTCGAAAATTCGTGGTCACAGTGACAGTATGAAATAAAAACTTGACTAAGCAAACAGCTTGTCAGTAAAAAGACAGTTTTATGGTCACCGACAGGAAACATTCTATAAATACTTAGTTTGATATAAACAGTCTTCAGACTTTGCTTGCTGTTAAAATAACCAGATAATGTCTTCGAGTTGCGTATATATAAGCTCTCGTGCACTGCACACTCTTAGCCAATCATAGATAAGTAGTTTCGTTTTCAAGAGTGTTAAGATTAGAGGAAAAATAAGAGTACTTCAGAGATTAGGTATTTCACAACTTGTTTGTATCAATAATAATAAGTTGTAAGTTCCAAAAGTGTGTTATGAGATCTATAGTATTTGTCTAAATAAACACCGTTAGCTTGTTAATTTCTTTAATAAGCAGAAAATAAACAAAGGTGTGTTCGAAACTAAGATCATTGTTATCACGTTTTGTTTTCTTGTTTGAATAATGTGGAATATGAAAAGACCATGAGTTTCTATCTTGTATTATTTATATTATATTATTTTTACCATTTATTCTATTTATGTGCATGTTTTATATAACACGTGGTAGAGAAAGCTACTGAGGCCATGTTGTTCTAGCTGCCTTTCTACCTTTGTTGTTCTCTGGGAGATAATGCTTGTTCTGCACGTTGCGCAAGGATGTCGACAGCGGTGTCCTCCAGTGGTGATATCCCGAGGTTACGGCTTCACTTATGTTTGAACTTGAGCACAAAGCTACAAAACGAGCTATCTGTGTTTTGTCCACCACGGGTATTGAAACCCGATTTCTAGCGTTGTAATTCTGCAGACACACCACTATGCCACTGGGGAGGGGCTTATGTTTGAATGAGAATGACAAGTTCTTACCAAGTAAGGAATGTTAAACAGTTTATTAGAAATCTTCACAGAGTGAGAGTCGATATATTGAGTCCGGTAGGAGTGGTAGTCCGTTGTTCCATAAAAGCAATACATATTGTGTTTGTTAGAATAAAGACTGACAATTTTGTATCTTACTCTGTATCCATTTTCTTTATTCTATCCTCTTTCAGACTCCATTATTCAAAGATTTGGCATTATTTCGTAATAAATACTTTAATCGGATCTCCTGTTATTCAGTGAAGCTATCCCTTTCCTCTTTAAGTAAAATCAGTCGAATCTGATCATATCACAATAATATAATATAATACTATTTCATAAACCAACTCGATAGAAATGTCAGGAGTAAAAATCAAGAAAATATCGTCATCATCTTTTCTTTGCCCATTTCAAACAGACCAGAAAAAGAGAATCTCCAAGTCTACTCTTATTCAACCAGAAACTCTAGTATGTTCCCATGGTAGGCACAGCAGAGATAGTCCATTGTATAGCTTTGTGCTTGACAGCAAACAAACACATTTTGTATAATGTGTGACTTTATGAATATCTCAAGACAATTAACTTGCTAATAAATTAGTCATTTCCACCAATTCATAACACACGTGTCGTTCAATCAATATATTTCCATAACCCTCAGTGGCGTAAGTATGCCCACGCAGCCCCTGTTGTTGCGAGGGGGGGGGGCTGACAAACTTAAGAATTGCTGACATGGGGAGAGACATACAATTTAATTGAATTATGAGGCGGTTGTGCTATTCTGTTAACAGAATCGTAATTTTATGCGGGTAAGATTACTAGTTCTCTACATATTGTTGATAATATGGTAATTGATTAGAATGGTTTACTTTCATTTATTTATATTGCGAGAATAGGTATGTTTGATGATATTTATATCACTCAATGAATAATAAACTTTGGATATATATATGTATATCATAGTAAGTTCATACTTCAAACAAAACAGGGCACATTTCGTAACGTGTGTTTTTCTGATAGCAAAACCACATCGGGCAATCTGCTGTGTCCATCGAGGGGAATCGAACCTCTGATTTTAGCGTTGTAAATCCGCAGACTTACCGCTGTCCCAGCGGGGGACATTACATAATGACCCACCCTATGATTTGTAACCCGGCGTTGAATATTTGTTTTGTGGCAACGTTTTTATTTTTCAAGTATATTTTTTCTTTTATTTATTTTTTCTCTTCCTTCTTTACAAAATTTAATTATATTTCGTCTAAGGTTTGAACATACTGTATAAAATTCACCCTATCTTACCTTTTGATGTAATCTGTTTAAAACAGTTTGTGTAGCTTACTTAAATAAATATGTTTATGCATACATAGACAACTGTATACTTGATACGCGAATATGTATATCCCCACAATTCATAGCTCGAAAGACCTTATCATTTTTTTTTAACCTTCAGACTGTTATGCATGGTCATCTACGTATGCCTGCAAACGTATAACAGAGTTCGCTCCAGCAGTTTGAAAATGTTCCTGAAACAAACGATAGACTTTCCCAAAACATATTATAACTTTTGTTTCTTATTCTCTTCAAACTTGATTATAATTAGTACATTTATCTGTGGACCGTTGACAATATTATAGTACTGGTAATATTTGGCGATAAGTTATTAGGAATATGGGCTGCTATTTGTTACTTTCAACCAGAACATTTTGCGTAACACATGACCTAAACGACCAAGTCAAATACCTCAAGGTTCAAATGCAACTGTCCTAAATTTATAACTGGTTTGACTATCACTTTTACACGACGTCTACAGCTGAAAGTGCGTAAGGTGTTCAATGACATATCATATTCGCGGGCTGGAATTATAGACATTCTGGTAAGCAGCCCGGCACGCTAACCATTAGACTGAGCTCCTAGTTATAGAGTAAAGAAATACCATTAAGAGTGAATATTAGACATCAGAGGTGATATATATTACAGGTGTGAAAAACCATGAACTTTTATGGTAATTTGGTCTGTAAATTGTTACCCCTATGTAATTAATAAAATTTATTTTTCCTATAAAGAATTTTAGGTGTGTTTTTGCTACAAGTACAATTTAGTGGAAACACCACTATCTCACGTGGCTTTAGTATGTTTAGTTCTTCCCATAATCCTTTCAGGCATTGCAACACAATATCTAACTGCTGTATCTTAACCTTCGATGACGAAAGTGTGTTATTCAGTATAAAATTATCATTCATTGCATAATTCTTGAGAAATAACAAATATTCTGATTCATTTGTGAATGAGCGCATGTAATTCCGGATAAAACAAGAAATAAAACAGTCGTAAATTATATTAGATAAACTTGCAGTGTTCGTGTGAAAACAAAAACTTTGTTTTATGTTTATAATGTTGAAGAATATGATATTCAAAGCAACGTAAAGTGTTTCTCACTGACCCTATCCCTAGCGTGTCAGCGGTGAGTTTACGGACTAATAATGCTAAAATCCGGAGTTCAATTCCTCGTGGAGGACAGTTTGTTTGTTTGTTTGTTATGGATTTTGCGCAAAGCTACACGAGGGCTATCTGCGCTAGCCGTCCCTAAATTAACAGTGTAAGACTAGAGGGAAGGCAGCTAGTCATCACCACCCACCTCCAACTCTTTTACCAACGAATAGTGGGACCGACCGTCACATTATAACGCCCCCACGGCTGAAAGTGCGAGCATGTTTGGTGTGACGGGGATTCGAACCTTCGACCCACAGACTGCGAGTCGAACACCCTAAACACCTGGCCATGCCGGACCCGTGTAGGACAGAGCCTGTTATGTAGTTTTGCGCTGAAACAAACAAGTATGCTAATCCATAATCAATTAATTCACTTTATATATATTCTATATTAGTATTTTGAATCTGAAAAGGAATTTATACGAACATGAGCTTAATAAACAGTTCAGAGACCCCCTGGGTTCATGTAGAACTATCCCTAATTTTGGACTGACTAGAGGGAAGGCAGTCGTCCAACATCGCCCACCGCCACAATGGCTTGGTTTTGCTTTCAACCGAGTAACGGGATTGATTGTCATTCTTAAAACGCATCCAAACCTGAAAAACGCAGCGTGTTAAACGACATTTCAACGAGAACCTTGGACCCCCTTCTCCACCCGCCAAGCATTCTAACCATTAAACAGTTTGGGAAGACATTGCGATATACGAGTATGGGAACAAATAAAAGATGGTGTACTATTTATGTAACAAACAACCCTTGTCGACAGTACATTACATAAATAGACAGATAGCTTATAAATAACGATGTTTCACAACCTTTAAACTTGTGCAATATAAATAAGCCTAATCTGATTGTACTATCATGTTAGAATACATATACATAAATAAGATTTGTTTGTTTTTGTCAACCTTCTAAAGAGTATTTGTGAAAGTATGACTTTATAAAGGACATATAATCACACACACAAATACGATAATGAGAAAACTTAACCTCAATATAAGCCCGAACGCTTTCAGTAAGGCAGACATGCCTTCTTCAGTAGTAAATGCTAAAATGTGTATTTAACTAAATACTTTCAGAACAAAAGGTTTATTCATCTATCGACAACCGGACATCTCTTATCTAGAACTATAAATATAAACTTAAATGCTTTAAACACATTTCCAGGATTTCTTCAATAAAGTCAGTAACTATAACAAGATATACGAACTATTATCTCGTCTTACACATGGGAAATATAATTTTATCCAACTCTTTATGATACAGTAATTATCATTAATTACTGTGTTTAACTCGCTGTTCAGGACTTTCTTGTTTTGTGTATTTCAACTGTAATTACGAACTGCACTGTGGTGTTTTATTTCGTTGTTTTATGTAAGCAGCATATTAGGATGCCGAATAATTTGTATAACATGTAATTACGTTCTCTTGTTTCACCTTATTTATTTATCGCGCTCTCTCTCTATATATATATACATATAAAACAATAGCTTTTGTTTGTAATTAAGCACAAAGCTACACAATGGGCTATCTGTGCTCTGCCCACAACGGGTATCGAAACCCGGATTCTAGCGTTGTAAGTCCGCGGACATACCGCTATGTCATTGGGGGCACAACAATAGCAATCAGAGATTGCATACCCTCACCCCGACGCTCCTTTTCCAGATTTCATGCGTTTATATTGCATATTGTCAAATTTTACCTTCGAAAACTCCGAAAATCCTTTGAAGATCCGGAATGATCAACGATCCGGATCATTTCTGTAGTGTGGTCAGGAGTCACAACCTTAATGTGCCGATGAAATTTGGTACATATCCGATCCCACTTTACAGTTATTAACCCCAAACCGCAAAAATGTCGTAATTCCCAATTATTAAAAACATTCCTTAAAAGTGATCCAGAATTCGGATTCGGACCAAATTTGGAGAGGTTTGTCCCATACTGGTTTTCCACCTTATTTAAAATTTTCGCGTGCATCGGTTTGTTAGTTTTTGAGATACGCGAGCGGAAGCACAGATAGACACACGAAGCCGATTACAATACCCTCTCCCTCCCCCACTTCGGGGGCGAGGGTAATAAACATTTACATCAAGCGAAGAAATCATTTCAATGGTAAGAGTAGAACTATCAATACGAATGGAACATTATGCGACATACGAGGAACCCAGTAGCTCAGAGGTAAGTCTGAAGGCTCACAGATCCACAAACCGGGTTTTGTTACCCGTGGTGGGCACAGCACAAATAGCCCATTGAGTAGCTTTGCGCTTAGCAACAAATAAGCACACAAACAAAAGCAACACGCGAGCTAAACGGCCATGCAGTTCGGGCATAATCTTCCCTAATTTTGTGTTACTGATCAGAAGGAAAACAGCCAGTCAGCAGCACCCGCTGCTACAAGTGCTTTGTTTGGCTTCGAACCAAATAAAGGGATTGATTGTCACTCTTATAACTCATCCACAGTTGAAAGTGTGGGACGTATTCAGCGTCATATCGCTGGTTGGCACTATAGACCTTCAATATGCAGCCCGCCAAGTTAATCACTAGACCAGGTACGGTACTCCACGATATAAAGAAAAAAGTTCCAATTAATGGAATGATGACTGTTTGTGATGATATGTGCGATATACCAACATATAAATAAATTGTAGGTGGCGTACTAGTCATGTACCGTCGAGTAATTTATATAGAAAGATATACGAGTTTGTTCATAAATAACGAAGACTGACTATTTAACAATGTCGAAACATATTGCATAAAATCAGTCTGATTGTGCTACCATGTTACTTACCATACAAATCAAAATTTACACCTGTAATTATATATACACGATATTCCTATGATTTTGTTTACCTATATACCAATGAATATTTCTATACTTAATTAAGCACCACTAAAAAAAACGCGTTTATTTATTTTTTAAAAAGTTGCGTCCCCCGGTGGGGCAGCGGTAAGTCGACGAACTTACAACGCTAAATTCCTGGATTTCCCGTGGTGGACACAGCAGACAGCCCCAAAAAACAACAATAAAAAAAAAGTAACACCATTTGAGAAAACGCCGACAACTCTACGTGATATTTCTAGAACTCTAAACAACAACTTGAGATAACCTCCACAACTCTATGTGATACATCTATAAATAGAAACAACTTTAATTAAGCACATTTTCGGAGTCTCCTCTATAGACTAAGATATAGGAACAATACTTTATTTTAACATAGAGAAACCAATACTTCATGCAGTCGTATACGTCCCAAGAATTATCTTTAGCTAGCGTGAATGTAACCTAATAAATTCTTATCTTGTAGTAATGCAATGAGTATTTCCTGTTTTGCTTATTTCAGTTGTACTTCAACTGCACTATCGATATTTCTCTCCGTTTAGTGTAGGCAGTACACTAGGGTGTAACTTGTTTAACATTTATTTATCTATCACTTTAAATGAAACGTTGATATAAACGGAAGAATTCTATAAATAGCAGCCTTCTGTACACACACACATACATATATACTTTTTATATCAAAGGTGTATATGCTGAAAACGAGTTAAAGTAAAAAAGGGATTTTGAATCTGTCAACAGTATGTACTAAAACTAGTCGAAAATAATCACTAAATAGAGGGTTGTTTTTGTTTTTACTTAAGTATGTAAGTTACAAACTCAGATCAAATATACACCTTTGAAAAGATAACTTTTATGCAGACTAAACTGAGTTTGTTACAAGACAACTGTAAAGATAATTTTTATGCAGACTACATTGATTTTGCTACTAGACAACTGTAAAGATAATTTTTATGCAGACTAAATTGATTTTGTTACAAGACAACTGTAAAGATAATTTTTATGCAGACTACATTGATTTTGCTACAAGTCAACTGTAAAGATAATTTTTATGCAGCTACATTGATTTTGCTACAAGTCAATTGCAAAGATAATTTTTATGCAGACTACATAGACTTTGCTACAAGTCAACTGTAAAGATAATTTTTATGCAGACTAAATTGATTTTGTTACAAGACAACTGTAAAGATAATTTTTATGCAGACTACACTGATTTTGCTACAAGTCAACTGAAACAACGTAATCTCATTGCAAAACAGATTATTGTTCTACTCAAATTATGCATGTTTGCTCTGCTAATTAATATTCTGCAACTTATTCCTGAAATCTAAAAATAAGAACAAGATATATTATTGTTTGAAACAAATTATTCGTTTTGCCAAAATAAAAAACAACAGGAGCATTACTGTTTTATCAAATTAAAAAAATTTTGTCTTGCACTCTTATGTTCTTCAAAGGGAATTCTAGAATGAATAATCCACAATGAATTTACACTGACCCCTACTAATTTAGTAAAACATAATTATTTTGATTTCTAATTACACATAGCTTGCTAGTCATAATAGAAATCTCATGAGTTTATCGTGTTACCTGTTTTGTTGTTTTAATCTTTGTCCATTGTTAAGAAATATGTGAAAACAGGATTTGTGACACATTTCTACAATAGCTGATATGTGTTATCACAGTACCAAGGTACAAATTATGGTAACATTTTATTTTTATATAGGAAACAAAGGAATGTGCACATAAATAAAAACAGTGACTTTTGTAGAATTTCTCTGGTGGGACAGTGGTAAGTTTACGGATTTACAACACTAAAATCCGAGGTTCGATTTCCCGCAGTGGACACAGCAGATAGCTCATTGTGGCTTTATTCTAAAACAAACAAATTCTCAAGTGGAAATACATCCATCTTCAAAAAATACTGTAAAGCTCAATTACATACTTTACTGCATGCATGATCAAATTAACATGATTTGATAACTTACTTGAAATTCTTCTGTGGTAAATATATATATACAGATAGAAATTTAATTTTATTGTTTCTTTGTTTTAGCACTGAGCTACACAACTGGCTATCCTCGCTGTATCCAACTCAGGAAATCGAATTCCATATTTTAATGGTGCAAGTTTGTAAACTTACCTCTGTTCCACAGAGGGACTTGGCTTTGATAGGATATTTACTTATATTTGGGGTATTAGCTTATAATTTATGATAATGTTTTTATTACCATCATTAAGCCTTAAACAGTTGAAGTTATGGTTTAAATCATGTTAAAGCCCGAAATGTATTTCTGTACTTAACAAGTCAGTTCACTTTGTTTTACGGGCTGTACATGACCTAATAGTTAACTATACAGTGGCTGATTTTCCAACATAGAATTTGGAAAATTGTTTCTGCTAGCACTGGCTTTATTTTTACTTATGATGATAAGGTTCACTTTCATTAACAATAAAAGATTTAGCTTCTTAAAAAAAAAAGTATATATCTATCTATATATATATATATATATACACATACAAGTAATTGGTTAAACACTGATTTTCCTTAATCCGTAATTTATCATGTAAATAGTAAAAACGGCATACGTATTGAATATTAAAACAAATAACACTTATATCTGAGTTTCTATTTTCTTGACATGTTTCTTCTAGATAGTGTCATAATGCATATTTAGTTAAATGTCTCTATTAATTTAAATTTTTATACCATCATAATAACTTATTATACATATAAATAAGTATGCGTGTTAAAATAACTACTTCAAGCACAAAAAGCATTTTTGTATGGAATGTTTTATTGAACATAATTAAATAAATTAGAATAACGAAGGCTAACCACAAATTACTGAAAAGAAAGTTTAACAAGTACTGTAACCAAAGTATTATAAAATACTTAATACCAAATTTTATACCTTTCTTGAAATTAAATACAAGTTAGGTTATAAATATTTCAAGCTACATTACAATTTTTCCTCTTTTCACATTCGTGGCATTTCAGAATAATTCAATCAATCAATATACATATACAAGTTTTTAACTTGCAAAATTTTAAGGTTAATTAGGTTTACAGGGTAGCTGTCAGCCTTATTAGCTAATGTACTAACCATTTCTTTATTAGAGAAAGACAGATTTAGTACATTTATATCTGAATAAAATGTACATATTTTTTAGTTAAAAGAAGTTCATACATATTTAAATTTAATATCATTATGTCTGACATTGAAAACTAAATACAATGTTTAAAAACATCAAAATCACAGAGCTAACACAACCTAGAAACCACGTACAAAACATTTTTATTTAGCTAAAATATCCAATAAATCAAAGAAATATAAAAATCACAGTATCACACACTTTTACTGTAGACATGATTACATACAAATCTTCTTCAGTAAACTAAACAATGTTCCTTATTACTTTTTTTTTATTACTGTATTTTGTTGGTACCCAAAATTTTTATTAACACTTGTTTCTCGGTCAATCTGTTCCATACACATATCAAATACTTATTATTATCATTAGTTTGTCCCTCATTGAATACTATACTTAAACTAGAGAATTAACAGCAATTTGGGAAACATTTAATAGACACTTTGCACTTAGCTAATATAATTAATAGAACACTGATGCATAAGGATCCACCAGTATTCATTTTTACTATAATTTTTAATACATATAAAACGTTTTTCTCATAATTTTTTCCCAGAAAAGAAATTATAGTAAAAGTAACAAACTATATAAAAAAATTATGAAGTTTAAAAATCCTTGCGTAGAAAATCTCTAAATGACATAGCATACATTTAACACGTTGAAAGCAGCAATTCCCATGTTTTATTAAATTTTAGTTGTGTCCAATTAGAAATTAGTTATGACTTAAGCAAAAGAAGTAAATTGAACATTAATAATAATCTGGTACAGGGGCACAAACAACACGAACAAATTCGTCATAACTGACATATCCACTTGAAGATATATTTGCTTCTCTGAAGATACGATCCACTACAAAATCATAAATCTATTCTTATTACTTTATAGAAACAGCAACAATTTTATTTATGAAATTCTAGGCTTTACATTAGAGTGAATCATTCATTAGTTATTTTTAAGAAAGTATAATGCAAATTACCTAAAACACCATAAATGTTTAATTATAAACATTTTTCAATTATATTCAATCGTCATCTCTTTCAAAATATATTTTTTGTTACCTATCAAGCTCTTATTAAAACATAAGTTAACAAGTTTGTAAATCCTCATATTTAACTTAATATCCTAGAATTTTGTATCAGTGATAAGGTATAGAAATACGCATGTATAAAAATGGTACAATGTATTTTCATACAATTGACAGATTTTAATACTGTCCCACAGAAAATATGTATGTGTGTGTATATATATTGTGTTTGGAAAAGACTAGCCTTTATCTGTATAGATATCATTAAGTAAATGAACCTGATTAGATAGGAATTCTACAGATATACAATGTTGCATTTAAAAAGGAATAAACAGAGCAAGATGGTCCTGATATGTAATTCAAAATTAAGTCTTAAATACTATTTCTTATTCTTATTTGCTTTTTACTTAAAGTTTTCAAACATTGGGTTTTAAATATACAATAAATACAATAAATATACTTATGGGTTATTTATAAAAAATGCCCAAAATAAATTCTATGATCTCTTCAGTATTTCCCATAGGAAGAGATTTGATGTTAGGGATACAAGCAGACATTGGAGTTGATAAAGAAGTTTCATTAGTCCTAGTATGGTTTTTAATTGCAAATAACTAACAAAATATCATGTTCCAGATTGCAACTTAAGTTTTTATGAAGAACAAAAGCCACAGCACTTAAAATTCTTTTATACAGGATTACAGTAAATCAATCTACGAGACCTTTTTTTTCCTTTTTTATTAGCTATATTTTTGTGCATCAGCAGTACCAAGCATAGAGCACACCTTTACTCGATTCAATTTTCTTACTAATCGGGATCTCTACCAGCCTAGCCACAACTTGAAATTCTTTTAGGCAGGATTAGAGTAAATAAGTCTACGAGACCTTTTTTTTCCTTTTTATTAGCTATATTTTTGTGCATCAGCAGTACCAAGCGTAGAGCACACCTATACTCGATTCAATTTTATTACTAATCGGGATCTCTACCAGCCTAGCCACAACTTGAAATTCTTTTAGGCAGGA